ATAAATATTTTTGCCTTGACTATCACTGGGGCAAAGAGACCCAGTGGGTCAAAGATTTGGGCCAATGCTGAGCACACGACCCTTTTGGTGATGCGTGTTGCTTGGCTTTTTGTGGGTCGTCCTCGTAGTTGGTCTTTTTTTGGCATCCAAATGATACCCATCGTTTTCACGCTGTATTGCTCTAATGTTTCACCTAGTTTGACGTCGTTGACAACGTCCTCTTTGGGGATTCCTTGCAATAGCTGGTCGTTGTTGGAGCTACATTTGCGAAGTTTAAGGCCGAACGGTAGCAGTATTTTATTAAGTTCTTGTTGAACTTTTATCGCTTCCTGAATGGTATCCGCGCAAGTGAGACAGTCGTCCACACAGAAATCGTTCTTCAATGCAGCAGATCCAATAGGTAATCTGTTTTGGCTCCGAGCTACCAAATGATACAGACATTTCGTTGCCAGGAATGGAGCAGATGTGGTCCCATATGTGACTGTTTTTAAGCGATAGTACCTGATATCTTCAGATGGATTGTTTCTCCAGACTATCATCTGATGAAATTGATCCTCGGGATTTATCCACACTTGTCGGTACATTTTCTCGATGTCCGCTGTGAATACGTACTTATGTATACGAAAACGTAGTAGAATGGACATAAGTTCACTCTGAACTGTGGGTCCGGCATGCAGAATGTCGTTTAGAGACTTTCCGCTTGTTGATTTACATGATGCATCAAAAACGACCCGTAACTTTGTGCTGGTGCTCTCAGGTTTGAGTACACAGTGGTGTGGTATGAAGTAGTGTCTCTCCGGCACTTGAGTTGCTGGGACCATCTTCATGTGTCCAAGTCCTTCATATTCATTCATGAATTCCACATAGCCTTTCCTGGTGTCTGGTGAAATCCGTCGCTCTAATGCCAGGAATCTTTTCGTTGCAGTTTCCAAAGACCCCCCCAGGGCTGAAGAGTGTTCGGAAAATGGGAGTTTTACTATCAGCCTGCCATCCGATGCTGTTTGTAAGTTCTCTATAAAGTGAGCTTCGCAATGTGTTTCGATTGGCGTGCGTGGTTTTTCTTCCGTCTCTAAGTTGTCCAGAGTCCAGAGCTTTTCCATTAGCTCGTTGAGTCCAATTGCACAAGTGGATGCGGAGTTGTGTGCAGACCTGATTTTTCCTGCCACAATCCATCCCAATTTTGTATTTTGCAGCAACGGGCCTCCTGAATTTGGCTGTTTTTGATCTGGGAGTAGTAGCGAATAATAGTGCTCTGCTCCGATGAGCATGTCGACTTTTCCCGGTTTATGGAAATCCGGATCTGCCAGTGGCAATTGTTTGGTATGTTCCAGTTCATTTCATCGAGTGCCTGCACTGGTTGATCAGCGAATGCTTAAATTCTTTGCGTAAATCCGCCGTGAAGGGATTTTATTAGAACATTTACTCGTGGTTTTTGACTGACCTCCAATTCCTTCGATGCGTAATGTTGTATCATTAGGTTTTACTGACAACATTGATGCCATTCGTTCAGATATCAAGTTGATCTGTGATCCTGAATCTAGCAAAACTCTGAAATTGGCTCTCTGTCCATTGTTTGCTTCTACTGCTACTTTTTCTGTAGCTAGCAGGTTATTGTTATTGTTACTGTTACTTGCTGCGCCAGCCACCGGTTCTCTTGGTTCTGTACTTGCGCCCGATAGTATGTCCTAGTGCAGCAGTGTATTCTGTTTTTTGTCGCACTTGAAACATGTCCGACCTGGGCATGCATTTGTTTTGTGGCTTATTTTAAAACAGTTGACAGTTTGTACCCAATTTAGTCGTTCTGATGATTGGGAGCGAAACTCATCGCATCCGTACAGCCAATTGCTTGCCTTCTTGCAGAATGAGCAGAGAGGCGTTTTCGATTTTCCAGTGTTTACTGTTGCACATGTTGTGCCTTTTGGCTCTTTCCTTGACATTTGTGCCTTTTTTCCTGTTCCTGGAACTCGAACTCTTTGTTCTAGGAACTGAAGCATTGTGTCCAAGGCCTGAATTTCCTTGAGCTTCCCAATGTTTGCTCGTACAAGGCTCTGTTAGTGACATCCAGCTTATTTTTGATGACGGCAATCAATATTGGATCCCAGCTGGATATATTGATGCCCAATCCCTTTAGTGATGCCAGGGATTCGATAGTTGTAACGTAAAACTCTTTTAATGACTTGGAGTCGTCATTAACTGTGCTATAATTTAGGAAGCGGTTCAATACCGTGCTAGCGACGTCTCTGGGATGGTTGTATGTATCAATCAGAATTTCCCAGGCGCTCACATAATTTTCTTCCTTAAGATCGATATGTCGGATCAATCTTTCTGCCTCTCCAGTTACTGTTGTTTTTAGATACCACATCTTCCGCACTGTGGGCATGTTTGTTTCATGTATCATACATGAGAACAGGTTATAGAACTGGGACCATTTTAGTATGTCCCCATCAAACTTGGGAATGTTGATGCGTGGAAGCTGCACGTCATTATTGTTTGATGTGGCTGGTTTTGCAAATGCTCTTTGTACCTCTTTTTCCAGGGTCAGGTAGGCTTTCATATTGAATCCTCCTTCTTCTGGATTATCATATTCCTCGTGTATAGTGAAATGGACTTCTTGTGCTTGAGTCCATAGTGATTTTATCAAATCACTTGATGTGCGTCCTCTCGCCTCTGAGAATTGTCTCAGAATGCGTTTTATGGACTCTACAATGGCCTTTTGTCGGCGACATAGTGAAGGCAATTTGCTGTAAGCCTCTGTGGCGGCAGCGTGTTCCTCCTTGTGTGAATCCATTTTGCCTCTTACTTATTACTTTGGGGAGTATTTTATTTGCTTTGCAGCTGGATACGCTCTTGTTCGCAACCGATGTTGGTCAAAGTAAAAGCACAAACGACGTACTGGATGGAGGTTTTGTGCCATTTCAATGGTGAAACGCACTGCGTTGGGGTCCTGCGTGGGGGTCACCAAATTTTAATGTGTGTTTGTGTGTGTGTAGTTTGGTATGCAATCGGTATATAAACCGTTTACAATTTTGTCGTCGCAACTAGAACTTGAACGAGTTGGACTGCGGAGAGGGTTTCCTACGGTGAGCAAATGAGGGTCTGAAGACACGGTCTGATGATTGCAGTTGTAGAGAACGATACTGATACGATCTGATGCTGATTTTATTTTATATCAACAAACTTAAATTCTATTTATAGGTAACAAAAGGTACAGAAAGTGCTGAGTCTAGTAAGAATATGGTAAAAGGGAATGTGAATTAATATTAAATAATCTTGGATTTAATATGATATTGTGTTATTGGCCAATTGTGTGTTAGCAATTGCACCAGTGTTTTTGCCCTCTGAAGAGCGACCGCATCGTTGGCAGAAATTGCTGCAGAAGCGGTTATTGTTGACTCAGCTACAATGCTTAGTCGTTTGTTATTGTCTCCCGTTACATCGGTCGACCTGACTTATTCGATGTGTATATTATGTTATAATAACACTACTCGACAAAATCGAACTTTTTTTGTCCTCAAGGATCCAAACCGACTTTTTCTGATAGATATCAGATATATCAATCTGGAGATTTAAAATTTTTTAAAGAATTATGGTTTTTTTTCTATGGCAGAACTTTTTTTTGAAGTCTGGTACTTTTTTTTTAAGCTTTTTTCAGAGGAAGCGCTTGTTTTTTCACATAACTCTAGTATCTTTCATCTGGTTGTTAAGAACTTTGCTATTTTGAAAAGGTAATTAATACAGCTAGAAGTAAAGCCCAAATACTTTGTGATTTCAGCTTACCGTCTGGGAAATATAAAGCATTGAAATGCAAAAATGATGATTTTTACGAAATTTTGACTTTAAAAACTCAGGAAAAGTCGAAAAAAAATTATATCCTGTGTCCTCTATTTTTTTGTGTATAGGTGCATTAATTTGGCGTCGTTCAAGGTATCGCTCATTAAAATCTATGGAGAGACTTTGGAGCTAAAATTCGTTAACCAAACCTAAAATATGGAAAAAATGAACAAAAAATAACTTTTGGAAGGTTGCGAGCCCAATTCCCATTGGGAATTGGGATGTACAACCCTTTTTTGTTTGCTTTGTTCCCAATTGGCAGTTGGGCCCGCAACCTTCGAAAAGGTATTTTTTGTTCAATGCTTGCAAATCCAATAACTTGCGGTCATTTCCGCGCATTTCAAATGGATTGCGCGATCGCAGACGTTGCAGTGTCTAATTTCTCAACATTTTCCATAAACAAGTTACTTTGTTAAATGTCAAAAAACAAATGGCAGTCGATGACAGTTATTGGCAGCTTTCCCTAGGAAAAATAGCACTGGCTCACGATTCCCCGTAGCCCAAAATACCCCGACCACCCCTACAAAAAATAACAAATAGATAAATAAAAGTTTAAATAAGGCCAAGGAGCATATATCTTGTCAGGGCTGCACAAAGGCAGCATACGAGAATGTGCATCAAACAAACGGTACTTTTCTGTTATGGGCCTAAAAGAACATTTAGCCATAATATTGGATGTCTGTACAATAGGCTGGACCAAAAAATATTTTTTTTCGAAATTCAAGCGGGACACCCGCTAGTTTTGTTAATTTACATGATTTTTTTAAAATTTTTTTACAAAAATTACAAAAAAAATTAATCAAAAAAATTCAAAAAAAAATTTTTGCTGAATGAGTTGGATAATTGGTGAAATCTATTGCATATATATTGATTCCATTCATATCGTCATTAATCAGTTATTGGTAGTAAGAAAACGGCACAAACTTCTTGAATTTCACTAATCGTTAATTCTTTAACAGAAACAAAAAAAAATCAAAATTTTCAATATGAACTAGTTTCTAAGTTTCAATATTATTTGAAAAAACCGACGAATTCAATTTTTTTAATGTATTTACCCAAAAAGTTTTTATTTTCTTTTCGTGGTAGCAACCCCTAAACATTCAACTAAAAGTTTGAAAAAAATTGTATAATTTTATTGAATAACAAAGAATAGAATTGGGGGTGTCCCCTTGAAAAAACAAAAAATTAATTTATTGGTCAAATTTTGGCACAGCCTACTGTACAAACAAACAAATAAAATAATGAACTAAATAGAAACATCAAAAATTTTAGAAACATTATTATAGCTAATGATGTCCTTTTATTCGAACAACAATCAACAGAGTTTTATGTTAATATAAGGGTTTGATTTGAACACAGATCAATTAAAATTTATTTTTATTTGTTAAAAATGGATTATTGACGGCGGCGTGTATTACGTTGCTTATCGAAACGCATTTCCATCTCCTCAAGAACCTTTGGTGTGTAACGAACTATAAGCTTCACTGAACCGATTGCTTGCTTTAACAATTCAACTGCCTTTTCGTGGTTTTCTCCTTCTACAGACTGAAATTAAAATACAATTTTATAGATAATCATTAGAATATAGTATACAGTTTTACTAACGTTAACGTAGTTAGCTCGTACAAATCTGATACATATTTTTAAAATTGCACAAAATACTTTAATAGAATGTGAGATCGACGATTCATAATTATAATTAAAACGAGAAGGAACGTGTGAGTCGCTTCTGGGGACGCGACTCTACTTATACTATTTATAGTATATTTTTGATTTTTTAGATTTGATTTGATTTTTTAGAATTTTAGAACAAAAACAATTTACATTTTACATTTTTTGCTACATCTGTTATCTACATCTACATATAGTACTATGTATATTATACATCTAACATGTAAATTATACATGTACCATTTAGAGTCTACATATCCTCTGCTAGTGTGCGAGCGAGAAAGAGAATGAGTAGCGGGTCTCTTGCTGCAGGAGACGGGGAAAGCAACTGAAAATTTCTTCATTCTGGCTATAATTATGATCCGATCTGATTCAGATTCGGCAATCTGGTAGATATGGTCATTCTCTACGATACTGCATTTTCAGTTTTATCGTATCTTTAAAATTGGGGCGTGGGGGCGAAAGTGTAAATATGGAAAAAGCTGGTCACGGTATGTACGAGCCCCGACCACTATTAAAAATGGAGGCCCACGCCCTTATCTAGTTCGAAGCGTAAAAATAGTTAAATTTTGTCGAGTAGATTTATTGGCAGCAAAAAATTGAACAAGTTAAAAAAAAACCTCTGCGTAACCTTAGCTGAACCTCCTATTTTCCACCAATCGTTAGGTACTTCATTAACAACAAAGAACTAACTAACAAAGAACAGAATAAGGAAGAGACCGATAAAAATAAAAAATTCTTTGTCATATTTTGGCCCAGCTTAATATGTACATATATGTACAAAAAATTACTCTAATTTTAGGTTACTTAAAGGTTTTAACATACCACACCATTGACTGACAGCAATTGATCGCCTCTTTTGAGACCTCCATGTCTATCCGCAACTCCTCCCGGTATAATGCGAGATATGTAAATTGGAGAATTTTGTTCCTTGCCTCCCATTACGTTGAAACCCAAGCCTGTAATAGAATTCATAAAAGTTTAGTTACCTACATGGTTGATAAAGTCTAAATATACATTTATCTTATATACATATATATATATATCTTTTCACTCTGTTTTGTAGATGCCAAAGATTTTCGTCCTTTGTGGGGCTGAAAGGGGCGGGGAGAAATTTTGGAATACACTTGTAAAAGTTTGATATAAAAAGACCTAATGCCGTCCTATTCTTCCCAGCTGTACAAAATAATTGAGTGGCAACGCTTTTCGATATACTATCTTCTGAGTCCCAAAAGTGCTGCGAAATAGGTCAAAACGTTTGAAAATGGGTATTCATTCATCTTCCCGGAGATTACACTACTCAACAACACTGTAGGCTACACCATGATTTTTTTTTATGGCAGAACTTGATCTATCCAATCTAACTCAACCGTTTATCCATTATTTATAAAAAGGACACAAGTTCAATTGCCCTGGTAAAGGTGCCAGATTTAAGTCAATGCATCAATAAGTCATCAATTTTTGTCCTTTTGCAATTAAGATTTGTTTTGTTGTATTAAAAGCCGTTTACTTTTCATTTCGGAGAAATATGTTGACGTTTTGAAAAATGAAGTCTTGCGTTTTACGAATGCGGGAGCTCCTGATTGAGTATATAATTTCAACTTTTCCTGAGTTTTTAAGGTAAAAATTAAAAAAATAAATACCTCACATAAATGAGAAATTTTGCATTTGAAAGCTTGATATTTCCCAGACGGTAAGCTGAAGCTGCAAAGTGTTCAGGTCCCCTTTATAGCTATATTTATTTTCAGAATGTTTTTCAGAATGGCATACAACATAACAACCAGATTAAAGATACTTACGAGGGATGTCCCAGAAATAGCCGACCTAACATAGTACTGTTGAAAAATATCATAAATTTTTTAAAAGACTAAGTTTGAGTTTTGGAGGCTTTACCTTGCGCAGTTTTTTTTGTCGATTTTAATAGAGAACGCTCTAAATTTATTTGCAAATATGGAAAAAATTGGTAATTTTGAGTCAATACTTTAATTTTAAAAGTGGATTCTACAACAATAAAATATTGGGTGGCAGAGTTTAAGCGAGGTTGTTCGAGCTGCGAAGATGAACGTCGTAATGAGGTGACTACATCAGAAATGGTGGCAAAAATTAAAAAATTTGTATTGGCTGATCGGCGATTCAAAATTCGCGAGTTCGATAAATGTTTAGGCATTTCAAAGAGTTCTGTACGTCGCATATTGACCGAAAAAATTTGACATGAAAAGGCTATGCGCATAATCGGGCATCATTATGTTTGATCACAATAGACCACAATGCAAAGATGTGCAGTTTCCATTGCGAAAATCCATGAATAAGGCTACGAATTGCTCCCTCACCTTAGTTCCTATTGACTGTGTTTTTGTTTCCAAACCTGAAGAAATGGCTCGGCGGTGAAATCTCACCCCAATGACCTTGGAGACCTGAATAAATCCTAATTTTTTGAAAGGTTACAAACATGGGGAAAATGCTGTAAAAAGCATATAGAGTTAAAAGGATCGTTGAAAAATAAAAATTTCTGGGACAGCCCTCATAAGTTATGTAATGTATGTATGTAATGTATTATTATGTACTATAATATCAATTAGGTTTACATGTCTGTGAGCTTACTCTCAAATTCCTAACGGTTCTTATTACTTTAGGCAATTTTTCAAAAAAGAAGCGAAATAGGACGGCAACAAAAATGGCACTAAAATTGATTTTTTATAAAAACTTTTACTTTTCCGAGCATTTTGATATTTTATGTTCTTGATTAAATAAAAATTCGGTGTCTTAAGTAGATTGTGGCAAGAACTTAACAAAATAAAAGTAGTTTTGGGTCTTGGTAAGCACTTTAGTTAAGAAAAAAGCAAGAGGATCAAAACTTTTATTTCAGAAAGAGACACCTATCTTAAGGTGAAGCCAATTGTTGGTTGATCAACTAAAATGATTAGCAACGCTTTAAAACATGCAACCAACAAAAAACACATTGAATAAAAGCCGCGATACCGCCATTTCCGGTCAAACTATTGCTTAATGAGAGCAAGAAAGACTCTTCTAAATCGTCCACAGAGCTAAAAAGGATCTTAAACGAGAAGAAACGTGTGCGTCGCTTCTGGGACGCGACTCTACTTACATATACCCGTACTCAGTCTGTATATACATTTTTGAGCTTATGATTTTTTAGAATTAAAAATTTTTTGCTACATCTGTTATCTACATCTACAATGTATATTCTACATATAACATGTATATTCTACATGTACCATTTAGATTCTACATCATCTCCGCTAGGGGTTGCTCGCGCACTGAAAGAGAATCAGTAGCGTCAGCAGCGCTGGAGAAGGAGAGGCAACCAACAGAAAATGAATTTCTTCATTATGGCTATAATTATGATCCGATCTAATTCAGATTCGGCAATCTGGTAGATATGGTCATTTTCTACGATACTGCGTTTTTAGTTTTATCGTATCTTTAAAATTGTGCCTGCCACAGATTTTCGTCCTTTGCGCGGCGGAAGGGGGCGGGGCGAAATTTTAAATACACTTGTAGCAGTGTGATATCACATGAGCCTGGAAACCAAATTTGGTTTCTCTAGCTCTTATAGTCTCTGAGATCCAGGTGCTCATCGAGACGGACAGACGGACGGACAGACGGACATGGCTATATCGACTCGGCTATTGATGCTGATCAAGAATATATATAGTTTATGGGGTCAGAAACGTTTCCTTCTTTGCGTTGCACACATCCACTTTTACCACAAATCTAATATACCCCTTAACTCTTTTTTGAGTACGGGTATAAAAATCGCCAAGGATGAGCAAAGTTAGTTATTGCATACATGAACATAAATTAAGTGCGAAAAGTCCGAGGAAAAAATTAGAAAAAAAGCCATGGGGAAGAGTGAGTGCAGTATGCAAATAGCACTGGAGTTGTCCCAAAGTGTTTTTTCTTTTGTGGAAAAGGCTCTCGATGTTATGTATGACGACACCTAATGCAGAAAAACCCCCTGACTAATATATAAAACCATTAAACACTCAGGGACAGGCATCATTGCATGGGCATGCTTTTCGTATTATGGAGGTGGTCCAATACCTGGCACAAGTAGATGATGGATCAACATGTCTATATTAAAATATTAGAAAAAAATGATGCTACCTTATATGGAATAGGAAATGCCGTTGTATTGTGTCTGCCATCAGGACAATGATCCAAAACAGGCCAGCAAGGAAGCTCGAAAGTGGTTTGAGAACAGTGTATTTAACAATGCATTGGCCTGCTTAGTTGCCAGATATGAACACCATAAAAATTTTTTTGCGGTAAAGCTAAAAAATATGTTTTTAATACGAAACCAAGGAACAATATTGATCTTTGGGGTATCAGGCATTATTGGTGGAGCCATATCTCCCAGGAAAGATCCGAAAATGACGTGAACTTTCAGCTGAGACAGTGTGGTTGCTTCCAACAAAATATTAACCTTTGAATACCATTAAAGTAACCTACTTTAATGAAAAATTTTGAAAGCTTCTTTTAAATTTGTATTTTTTTTTTAATTTTTGGAAATCAGTGCTGTTTTTGTTGCCGCTTTAATTCCTGAATAATTTCTATTCTTTTCAAATATTTTCGTTTGAAGCCTGCAATACATACCATTGCTTTCAAAAACATTAAATTACACCAATAAAGATTATATATTAATTTTAAAACCGTTCATTAAAACCACTATTTAAGCAAAATCATTCAATACCAAAAAGTTAGTGTCATGGTGGTATTATTTATGCCACAGCTGTACGTAGGTTGCTTTTTAAGTTTCTGGCCCAACTATGAAAAACACAACTTAGTCGTCTGGAAATGGTTTTATTGCTTTGAACTACATTTTCCAGGAATATGAAACTCTATTTTGAAATATTTTAACCTATTTTGAATACACTTTTGGCACTCAGAAAAAGTATCTCTAAATCAGGAATTAATCAGCGATTCTTTTCTTTTAACCCGTTAAGAGCCAAGTGTGTTTAAAACCAAACATTTTTTACACTTAAAAAAATACCGCAAAAAATTATGAAATTTGAATTTGAAAGCTTAATATCTTTTAGGCGTTAAGCTGCAGATACCAAGGGTCTGGGTCGGATTTATAGCTGCATTTGCGAGCTTTCAGAACTGCAAACCAGATATAACATACCTAAGTTATGTGAAAAATAGAAGCACTACCTCTGAAAAAAAAAATTCAAAAAATAACAGATTTTAAAAAGTTCTTAAAAAAAAAACTACACCATAAAAAAAAACCATAATTCGTTAAAAATTTGTAAGCCCGGAAATCTATAAGGAAAAGTTATTTTGGGCCACAGCCTAATTCTAGTGTTGACTAGTGTAATTGAGGAAATTATCGGAAAAAAGTACATTTCAGAAAATATTTATGACATTGCTTGAGTATACTCGGACGAGTATACTTAATCCCTAATAATAATAATCCATAGTCCATTAACATTCGTAAACTCGGCAGCGGACTCGTTTGGATGGCTTGCTTACCAGCCCGATCTTGAAAAAACGATGGTAGGAGTCTTCAGGTGTAGTGAGCGGAAGGGATCGGGTTAACAACACTATATTCAAATTAAAGAAAAATTACAGATCAAACAAACGATTCTTTCATATGATTGACTTGAGACAGAAATAGGTCAAGAAAGCCGTCATTCTATGACATGAGCACCAAGTTATGAGACTAGTTTACCTAAGACCAAATAGTACCTGACAGTTTGAAATAGCCAAAAACTATGATAGAGTCTTTATCTGATAGCAGGGGAAAAAAATCTACATATTTTTGAGGCGGTAGAGTGATGAATATACAAAACGAGAAGGAACGTTTGAGTCGCTTCTGGGGACGCGACTCTACTTATACCCGTACTCAGTCAGTATATACATTTTTGAGCATGATTTTTAAGAATTTTAGGATACAAAAAAATTTTACATTTTACCTTTTTTTTACTACATCTGTTATCTACATCTACATCTACATCTACAATGTCTATTTTACATTTAACATGTAGATTATAGATGTACCATTTATATTCTACATCTCCTCCGCTAGGTGTTGCTCGCGCACTGAACGCGGCAGAGTGTGCGAGCGAGAAAGAGAATGAGTAGCGGGTCTCTTGCTGTAGGAGGCGGGAGAAGCAACTGAAAATGAATTTATCGTATCTTTAAAATTTTGCCTGCCACAGATTTGCGCCCTTTTGTGGTGGCGGAAGGTGGCGGGCCGAAAAATTGAAATACACTTGTAGCACGTGTGATATCACATGAGTCTGGAAACCAAATTTGGTTTTTCTACCTCTTATAGTCTCTGAGATCTAGGCGCTCATCGAGACAGACAGATTGTAATGTCTGTCTGTCGACATGGCTATATCGACTCGGCTATTGATGCTGATCAAGAATATATATACTTTATGGGGTCGGGGTTGGGTTTTATGGGGTTTAACACAAATCTAATATACAAACCCTTAACTCTTTTTTGAGTACGGGTTAAGGTATAATCAGGGAAGAAAAAATGTTGGCAGCGAAGAATTCTACTTCGTTTTAAACTGGAAGGCGGAAAGGTTACAACGTTAAGTTTGAGTCCTCTTCAATGAAAATTATATGGTAAAAATCGCGCACTGTTACGTTACATTCGCATGCATATTTTAACGGAAATTGTCGCAAAAACACACTTAACTGTGTAGTTTTAATATTTATTGTATTTGCATTCAAAATTTCAAATCTGTATTGAGATCTTATGTTCGCATAGATTTTTCTGTAGGTGTTGATATTTAAAAGTTATGAACGTCTCAAATCGACTTTTACATTACACAAATTCGAAAGTACTTTTGACTATTTTTTTCCTCTTTCGACAAGCATAAAGGTGCGCATTGTCACATAAAAAGACTGTTACTCTACATGTGCGAATTTCGTTAATTAAAGTTTATAAAAATTAATTTTGAAACTAAAAAAAAAATTGTAGATTGTATCCTTGTTTTGAAGTATTAAAACTCCATCAATAACTTGAATTTGGTGCGCTGAAATTTTATATCATTAATACTTTTGGCGCCATTAAGACCGCCGCTGTGTTCAAAATGTAATTTATATCAGAAACGAGAACATGCGAGCCGCTTCTGGGGACGCGACTCTACTTATACCCGTACTCAGTCAGTATAATGTATATAAATTATTGATTTTGATTTGATTTTTTAGAATTAAAAAAAAATTTGTTTGCTACATCTGTTATCTACATCTAAATCTCAATGTATATTATGCATCTAATATGTAGATTATACATTTACCATTTATATTCTACATCATCTCTGCTGGAGGGCGCTCGCGCACATAACGAGACAGACTGTGCGAGCGAGAAATAGAATGAGTAGCGGGTCTCTTGCTGAAGGAGGCGGGGGTAGCAACTGAAAATTTCTTTATTCTGTCTATATTTATGATCCGATCTGATTCAGATTCGTCAATCTGGTTGATATGGGCATTCTCTACGATACTGCGTTTTTAGCTGTATCGTATCTTTAAAATTTTGCCTGCCACAGATTTTCGTCCTTTGTGGGGGCGGGGCGAAATTTTAAAATATACACTTGTAGCAGTGTGATATCACATGAGTCTGGAAACAAAATTTGGTTTCGCTAGCTCTTATAGTCTCTGAGATCTAGGCGCTCATCGAGACGGACAGACGGAGATGGCTACATTTTTTATTGTCTGGACGTTGATATGCAATGACTGCACCTGCCAACGCAGCCCCTCCTCCCGCCCAACCGGCCGAGAGCGCAGACGCATGACGCGCGACGCGTGTTACCGAACCGATCACGAGCATACAGGAAAGATAGGTGTTAGACTAAAATTCAAGGAAAATTAGAGCTAAACACAACTCAAAGAGCTAAACATGCAAAGATAGCTAAGAAATAGTACTAATTACGGGAAAGGTATGTTAGTATTATTGATTTAACAAGAAGAAGGGAATTAGTGGTGGATATTATATGCAAGGAATAATTGGATCTACAAAGTGGAAGGAACAAAGGAATAAAGTTTCTAGTGGATCTACTAGGAATCGTAAAGTTTATGCGGGTCAACAAGTCAGGGCTATCTACGTTACACTTGATTAGGTTGTGCACACAAATCACACCAAGCATTTTTCTACGACTAACTAAGGTTGGAAGGTTTATTAAAAGCAATCTACGAGGGTAAGATGGCAGTCTCATACTTGTATCCCAGTTAAGGCCACGCAGAGCAAAAAACTGTTTTTCTGGACTGATTCTATACGGTCCGGTGTACTTTGTACCATACACAAGAGCCGTACTCTAAAATCGGACGAACAAGCGAGATGTAGAGAGTCTTCGTTATATAAGGGTCGTCAAATTCCTTTGACCACCTCTTTATAAACCCAAGCACAGCCATGGCCCTATTTACCATGGTAGAAATGTGTTCAGAAAACTTTAACTTTGGGTCTAATTTAACACCAAGATCATCAACCAAGGTAATTCTCTCAAGAGAACCACCGCAGAAGCTATAAGGAGCCAAAAAGGGCTTGACTCGGCTATTGATGCTGATCAAGAATATATAAATACTTTATGGGGTTGGAAACGTTTCCTTCTCTGCGTTGCACACATCCACTTTTACCACAAATACAATATAGCCCTTAACTCTTTTTTGAGAACGGGTATAAAAACAACGATCAGTAACCTCTTCGATGGTGACTTTCGATTGTAAACAATTAAATACAGCTACAAAGTCGGAAGCATATTTGACTATGCATTGAAGAGACACAATTTGCTACCTCACAATCACTTTGGTAATTGCGCCAATACCATAAATACAACCTATCCCGTGGGAAGTTGCAAAATAGTTTCAGTAGGTTTTTATTACGAGTTTTTATTCTATGGAGCCTTGTTTATTATACCCGTACTCAAAAAAGAGTTAAGGGGTATATTAGATTTGTGGTAAAAGTGGATGTGTGTAACGCAGAGAAGGAAAATTTTCCGACCCCATAAAGTATATATATTCTTGATCAGCATCAATAGCCGAGTCGATATAGCCATGTCTGTCTGTCCGTCCGTCCGTCCGTCTGTCCGTCTCGATGAGCGCCTGGATCTCAGAGACTATAAGAGTTAGGGTAACCAAATTTGGTTTCCAGACTCATGTGATATCACACTGCTACAAGTGTATTTCAGAATTTCGCCCCGCCCCCTTCCGCCCACACAAAGGACGAAAATCTGTGGCAGGCACAATTTTAAAGATACGATAAAACTAAAAACGCAGTATCGTAGAGTATCGCCCATATCTACCAGATTGCCATATCTGAACTAGATCGGATCATAATTATAGCCAGAATGAAGAAATTAATTTTCAGTTGCTTCCCCTCCCCCTCCCGCCAACGACAACGCAACTCATTTTCCTTCTCGCTCGCACACTCTGCCGCGTTCAGTGCGCGAGCAACCCCTAGAGGAGGAGATGTAGAATCTAAATGGTACATGTATAATATACATGTTAGATGTAGAATCTACATAGTATATGTAGATGTAGATAGCAGATGTAGCAAAAAAATGTAAAATGTAAAATTTTTTTTTTTTTTAATTCTAAATAATTAAGTGCTCAAAAATGTATATGCTGACTGAGTACAGGTATAAGTAGAGTCACGTCCCCAGAAGCGACTCACACGTTCCTCCTCGTTTTTTATCTAAACATCAGATAAATCAAAATATTTGATTTTCGATGAACAAGAATTCGCCCCAATAACTTAATTCTAATCATAAATGTTAATGAGCGAGTAAGCAAAAAATTTGTTTTTTTTTTTTAATTTTACAAGCCTTTTGCTACGTGCCATGTTTTTATTTATTTATACTCTCACCGATGCAACGACCGAAGATGTGAAAATTTTCGAAACTATCAAAGGGTATCGTGTTGGTCATTGTTTGAATGATACAGTGGGAGCAGAATAACAAAAATATCAAGAACCATCGAAATTGGAAAAAAAAAAACTTGTACGTGGTTTTTTAAATGTTCTGCTTATAATCTAAAACTTAAGTAGCTTGAAAACTGTTATTAGTGGTTGATTTCGTACATTAAATAAACTCCGAGATGAAGATATTGTTGAGGAACGCATCCGATATTATCACTTTGTCATCTTTATATTTAAGTCCATTTCGTAGAAGAAAGGAAAGTTAGGATAGAATGGAAGAGACGAAAAACCTCTGTATTCACTTGCCGATGCCCCGGCATTATTAGGTTCCGAGCCAAAAAAGAAATAAACATAAGTACAGTCCACTAAAATCAATTTACTCAAAAGAGAGTATTCCAGAGCCGATATAATTGATAATTTCCAATGGTTAAAAGAGTCTATACAGAGACTCGGTGCAATAAATAAGCACACTGGCTTAACTACCCGAAGAAAGTAATCGAGTGCCATCGGCAGCTTATATTAATGAATTCTCATATTCCTGTGATCGTATTTTTAACATGTCAGGCCACATTTGTATTAAGCGTTTTTAAAAAAAACTTATATCCTATAAAAAAAAACTACTTGCAATAAAACATATTTTGACCATCATTTTTGTATTTGAGTTAAAATGTGTGTACTCTATTACTCTGTGACTAGACACTAGTGTGGTAGATATTATTTTTATTGGTTCTATTTATCCATTCAAAGTACATAATTTTGTAGAAACTGAGGCCCACCTACCTTCTTCTGTTTTCGGCAGTTCGACTACTCTGGGGTGCGCATGACCCTCGCTGGCTGCAAACGCAGCAACGGTTGCTTTAGCTGTCGCAGATGCACGAACATCATGTGATCCTTGGATATCAACCGTTTCATATACGTGTTCATAAACTTCTCGAACAGAAGTCATAAAGTCTGAGCTTAGCACCTTCTGCAGAGCAGCTAGCTTGGTAGTTGGAAAGTCGCCGCTCGCTTGCAGCTTCTCTAGCAGCTCTATTGATCTTTTTACATCTGAATAAATTAATATTGAGATTATTAACAATATTCGAAGTGATCATTTTCACAAATTACCTCTGGACAAAGTTAGTGGTTCAACGACGTCTGCCATAATTCCATTTAATTCTAAAGTATAAATCGATAAATTCACTTAGTCTGTTTGACGGTACTACTGAAAATAATGTGACCTGATAGCTAAATGCTAAAAATAGAACATTCATACAATAACGCTTTGTAATTTTTAAAGTGCGTCAAGCTAGCGTACAACTATTGCTTCGATTTGAAACCATGCCATATGGCACATAGGGTATTCATTTAATATAATTGTCGGAGAAGTATGATGAAAATGTAAGAGGAATTATGAAAATGTAAACATATATGTACTACGCAGTAATTTATCGGTTGTTCCTTCTATTCGCATTGTCGCCGAGAACTAGGATTGAGAACGAGAGACTGTCGTCTCAGCCGAGTGTGGCGCGGTTGTGTGTAGGCTGCCTCTGAAAGAGAGGAGAATCGAAAGGGAATTGCTGAAGAGAGCAATTGGATGCTGCAATATGGTGTCATGTATTGCGTGAGCGAATACAGAAGAGGATTTCTCAGTTTTCTCACAGTTCGGAAGGAGAATAGACATAACCGCGACTCAGTGCGTTCAATGCCACAATGCAGGAAGAAGAAGAGCACTCAGGCCTTTTGTCTTCGACATCAGAATCCATCATAATCCTGACATAATCCTGACGGAGCATCCTCTCGAAGGCAGTGCGCTGGTTATGTCGCTGAGCGGAGCATTAGAAGGGAGCGCTTCCCAATAGCTTGCTCAGATCAGCTTTGCTGATATAACCTGGCTACAATTCAAAGAATTGTTTGTTCACCGCTACGATGACGCTGAGACACCGGCCTCCGTCTTATTGAACATCCTTAAAGGATGACCGAAAACAGGCGAGTGCTTGTCGGCATACGGTAGCCGACTAATGACGTCATTAATGATGAAATGGAAGTCGATGGACATGGAAAAAATAGCTGTGTCTTTCGTATTGGCACACACGTCGCAAATCGACAGTAGACTGCAATGTCTACTTTTCAGCACCAATATAACGAATATAAATGAACTTCAGCAGCAGTTGAAAGCATTTGCATGCAGCAAGCTAAGCGAGAATCTGGCTTCAGACCATTCGACCGGTCCCGGACATGAAATGCTGGGATGCCTATGCCACTGATATCAGATGAAGTTAACAGATTGCGTGGGGGCCTTAGACATGGAGAGTGGGTTGTATCGGATCCCAATAGATGCAGGATATATAGAGCGAACCGCTTTTGTAACCCGCGAGGACCAGTACGAGTTCCTATCTATGCCATTTGGGCTGAAAAATACCTCTTCGATTTTTTATCGAGCTATAGAATGAGCACTGGGTGACTTGGCGTACTCCTATGCACTTGTTTATATTGATGATGTAGTGATAGGTGCGAGGTCGAAAGACGAAGCATTTGAGAGACTGGCAATTGTGCTAAGGGCTCTATCGGAAGCATGATTTTCATTTAATATACAAAAATTCATTTCTCAAAACTGAAATATAATATATATAAAATATATTGAACCAAATCCGCGAAAAATACAAGCTCTGGCTGGACTATCTGAACCAAAGACTGTTACACAATTGAGACAATTTATAGGCTAAGCATCTTACTTCCGCAAGTTTGTTCCAGAGTTTTCTGAACAGATAATACAGTTAACCTCCAAAAGTAATAGTTTCGTTTGAAAAGTTGAGCAAAAGTTGATACGCCAGAAAATTATCTCAGTACTAACTCATGATCCTGTTTTGATTACACTACTCAATAAAATTTAACTTTTTCTGATAGATTTCGGGACTTACAAATTTTTTTAGTACTTTACTTTTTTTTTTGGTGTAATTTTTGTTATAGAATTTTTTAAAATCTGTTATTTTTTTAATGTTTTTTTTTTTAATTCCAGTATATTCCAATTCCAATATCTTCCAGGCGTTATACTCTCTGCACACTGAGTCCATCCTGGGGGAACGGTGGGAATTTTTGAAAGATGTGAAACACCGATTCACATTGACACCATCCACCATCCACCATCCATGAGAAACAGCTGTTGCTCACAATTGCGTGCGGTGAAAATTTATTTACTTTAATTAAAATGAATATAAATAACATTTCAATGGTCGTGAATGTGATTCAGCAGCAAAACATATTCTTGCACAAGCTAATCATGTTGTTGGACATGGACGATGATGATGAGGATAACTTTGACGAGGAGGAGATAATAGAATGGATATCTGTTTTGAAAACACTGAAGCCCGGAAGGTTGTGGTCATTTGTGTGTGCTTCTAATAAATGCAACCAATGTTTAAAGTACAAATATATATGTTATGTTTTTCAGAAGCGGTTCGGTACATTTTGGGAGAAGGATGTACCCGAAAACAACGAGGCGTTTTTTAAGGAAAATTTGAGGATGGAGAGATCCTGGTTTTCTCTGTTGGTTACTCGCTTGGAAGTGCTACGGAAGAAGGAGACAAACTGCCGAGCTGCAATTCCTCTGGAGAAGCGTATCGCCATATCTTTATATACTTTGGGATCTTCTTCTGAGAAGAGTGTTTTTCGGAGTGTCAGCCAACAGCGTCTGCAATATCCTGCATGAGTTTTGCAGAGCATTCATCAACGAATTCTCAGAGGAATACATGTCCAAAAACTATCTCACTTCAGAGAAAATTGACGAGTGTGTCCAAGCATTTGAAGAAATTGGGTTTCCTCAGTGCCTGGTGCAATTGGTAATAATGCAATAAAATCATCCATAATATATGTATATACATATATGTAAATTAATTTTATCACTTAATTTTTATGTTAGATGGATGTCACATCGAAATAAAATCACCTGCAGCTGATATTTGATATTTTTTTATTTTTTGCGTGCTTTGTGAGATCGTTTTTTATTTTGTTTTATTTTTATATTTTCCTGTCTGTCATTGTTTACATTTTCGTAGTGATCTCCGATTTTTTGTTGTGAAATATGGTTGCATTTGACAATTATCGAAAAAATACCGCACTGAAACGTGAGAATTAGGAACATCCCAGATGGATGGTGGAATAACTGGGAAATTTTCGGAACGGCAAAACCTTACGGACCATCCCAGAAATGGATGGTGGATGGTCCCCAGTGTGAAAAGGCTATTACCGTTTCGGAGAAATTCAGCTTAGAAATAATTGATCGAATACCACTAATATTTGAGAGTTATGCGTACTTTGTTTGCCTCAGACAGTCATTAATAAGTCAGAATTTATTTGTGTCTTTATTCATAAACAGAAAACCCAATTGAAATGAGTTTACCGCCTCTTCTTTTGAATCGTTTAAAGAAGCGTGGACTTGTAAACAAGCAAAGTGGTACTGCTCTACTTACATATACCTACATTTACATGTTAACATTTCTAATTGTATTTATTAAACCAACCGTGCATTGAGTGGCGGAGTCAGCGATATATAACGGAGTGGCAACAGCTCATAAGATTGCATTCATATGTATTGAAACTAAGTACCTTGTTGAATAGTGTCACAGCCTAACGACTGGTTTAAAATGAAATAACTGTTTTTAGATTTCTACGCACCTTAACAATTATACATATGTACATAAAGTGGCTAACAGCTTAAAAGAACCAGACTTAAAACTTAAAATTGGTATAACTTCTGAACCGAACCGTACCACTGAAAATCAAATGTATACTGATAGACAAATATTTAAACTTCAACAAAACCAGCATTATTTATTTTGTAACATTTTTTTAAAGCAGTTTTATTACAAAAATACTGCTTTGTTTCATCCCACATCGTACATATTTGAACCAAAATACTTAAGCAACTTTTTTTGGTTTTTCATTCTACTTATAAACTATAAGTTTATATATTTTTAGATTCTCTTATTGTTTTAAGACCTTTTGACCCATTTTACTCATTTATGGCCTAATTTTCACCCACACCTCTGTAAGTACTTTTATTAAGCCCTTTTTTTACGTTTTATAATGCTCTGATCCATTATTAGCCGAAAATTCTCAATGTCCTCCATGCATAGCGGTAGCGTTCAAGATCTTCGTTTTAAGCTCTGCATTTGGATTTCTCCAGACTTATGTATTAATTCGGAATCAAAAACTTAAAGAGTTTTGGTAGAAAATTAGGACATAGATCAGTAAAATTTGTCGAATCGATGCAAAAATGGCTCCAAAAGGCTATAAACAATAAGAGAAACTAAAAATATATAAACATTTAGTTTAAAAGTAAAATAGAAACAAAAAAGTTGCTTAAGTATTTTGGTTCAAATAAGCTGTGGGATGATATAAGGCAGTATTTTTGTAATTAATTGCTAAAACTGCTTTAAAAAAATGTTGAAAAATTAATAAAACTGGTTTTGTTGAAGGTTAAATATTTGTCTATCAGTATACATTTAATTTTCAGGGGTACGGTTCAGAAGTTAAACCATTTTTAAGTGTTCTGGGCGTCTGGTTCATTCATAAGCTGTGAGCCACTGTATAGTGTCGCTTTCTTGATTAAGAACTCCTCTTTTTTAACGTTTTGTTTTTGCAAATCTCTCTTAACTGCTAGAGACTAGATTTTTTTTTGTATAACTTGATTAGGAACAGTATCTTTGGTGCTCTTTTCCTTGCTGATTTTCGAATCGAAAACTAGTTTGCTGTATAAAATTTATATTTTAGTTAACATTAACTGTAAACAAAAACGGTATTAAAAACCTAAGAAAAAGCAAACATCTGACCGATTGCATGTTTCTCGGGGTATTACTCTTCGGTAGTTGCATTTTTAGTGCGACTATTTCTGTTTTTGGCACATTCTAGTTTATTTTAAAAATTTCAATATAAGAAAACTGGCTCCCTACATGTAGAGATTTTTGCTTTTTCCACGGTTGTTAATATGCCTTTTGTCTAAATTGTAACTTAAATATCAATTTGATACCACAAACTAATTTTACAATATTTTTGCGGAACGATTCGATTCCAAAATCAGTAATGCAAAGAGGTATAAACATGCTGTTCCTAATCAAATGAGCCAAAAAAATTCACTTATTTCGTAGAGCTTTTTAGATTAGATTCTACATCTCCTCCGCTAGGGGTTGCTCGCGCACTGAACGCGGCAGAATGTGCGAGCGAGAAGGAAAATGAGATGCGTTGTCGCTGGCGGGAGGGGGAGGGGAAGCAACTGAAAATTAATTTCTTCATTCTGGCTATAATTATGATCCGATCTGATTCAGATTCGGCAGTCTGGTACATATGGTCATTCTTTACGATACTGCGTTTTTAATTTGATCGTATCTTTAAAAATGTGCCTGCCACAGATTTTCGTCCTTTGTGGGGGCGGAAGGAGGCGGGGCGAAATTTTGAAATACACTTGTAGCAGTGTGATATCACATGAGTCTGGAAACGAAATTTGGTTGCCCTAGCTCTTATAGTCTCTGAGATCCAGGCGCTCAACAAGACGGACGGACGGACGGAAGGACGGACGGACGGACGGACAGACAGACATGGCTATATCGACTCGGCTATTGATGCTGATCAAGAATATATATACTTTATGGGGTCGGAAAATTTTCCTTCTCTGCGTTACACACATCCACTTTTACCACAAATCTAATATACCCCTTAACTCTTTTTTGAGTACGGGTATAACAATAACAGAGTAAACAGAGCTTAGTGAATGGTACCTTGAAGGAAAAATAAAATCTAGTCTCTAGTTAAAAGAGAATTGCAAAAACAAAAAGTTCAAAAATAAAGGGGTGTTCTTAATCAAATGAGCGGCAGTGTAGCCTCCAGTTTCAAAAGTCATTTTCAGTCATATTCATTTGCTGAATCCCTAGGGACAATGTCCGTGTCCTGTAGCGACTCCGCATCGTCATTAATACTCCGTCAAGAACGTTCTTCTATGGCAGACCTCACCACAGAGCGTCGTGGGCAACACAAAAGACTCTATCTGCGCGTATCCCATTGACCAAGACGTTCGCAGCAAACCTGGCGTACCGTCCTTCCATCCATCTTCCTAGCGAAACCCTATATGAATTTTATATGGGCATGTCCGCTTTTTTCACGAGTGACACTATATGAAATTTTCACTAAATTCACACTGGATTTCACTACGGACTTATTCGTATGTACAAGTATGTATGTATAAGTAAAATCACTAGGAACATGTGATTTTCGAAAATGTCCTATATGAAATCACTCGTGACATATCCATAAATTTCCTATATGAAATCTCATGTGACATTTCTCATGAAATTTAAGAAAATGTCACGGATAATTTCATGTTTAAAGCTACATACGAATTCTTTAAAACACTTCATTTAAACACAATTGAATTTTTATACCCGTACTCAAAAAGAGTTAAGGGGTATATTAGATTTGTGGTAAAAGTGGATGTGAGTAACGCAGAGAAGGAAACGTTTCCGACCCGTCTGTCCGTCCGTCCGTCTTGTTTGACGCCTGGATCTCAGAGACTATAAAAGCTAGAGGAACCAAATTTTGTTTCTAGACTCATGTGATATCATACTGCTACAAGTGTATTTCAAAATTTCGCCCCGCCCCCACAAAGGACGAAAATCTGTGGCAGCCACAATTTTAAAGATACGCTAAAACTAAAAACGCAGTATCGTAGAAAATGACCATATCTACCAGATTGCCGAATCTGAATTAAATTGGATCATAATTATAGCCAGAATGAAGAAATTAATTTTCTGTTGGTTCGCCCGCCTCCCCAGCCAGTGAAACGCTACTCATTCTCTTTCTCGCTCGCACACTCTGCCGCGTTCAGTGCGCGAGCAACCCCTAGCGGAATGTTCTAGACATATTTTGTCTTCCGAATTTTCATACCTGACTTTAAAAACACTGAAAAAACACGTTTAAATTGAACAAACATTTAAAGAATCGCTCAACTAAAAATATCACAGCCGCTCGCATTAATCGGTTTTTCTAACCCCTTAGTCGCAGTTTCTTTTCATTTAAAGAATCAAAATGCATTTGACTGTGCCAGAATAGAACGGAGAGAAGGAGACGAAATGAGCGAGAGTAGAATAGTTAGGGTCGAATTCAGGTAGAGAAAAATATAAATATGAGATAGAGCGAAATCTATGGATATCTGCTTACGCGTCCGCTTATATCTGCTTACGCGTCCGGTTCGGTCTGCAGCAGTTGAAGCTGGCCAGAATTCTATGCTGACGTCGACGTCGCCTGCTTTGTAGACATCGAAGCCGAACAATTTTTCCCATGAAAATTTCATGGCATGACCGCCAGGTCACTAACCCGCCAGGGTTAGTTGGACATGGCAAACCGTCGATCTTATCCGATAAATCACAATTTTTAGCGAGCTTTTGTGGGTGTTTCAGGCTATTATCCTTTTGAAAGAAAATTTGCTACTGACAGTATACAGTAAACTAGTATACCAAGTATACATACACATTTTTACTCAATACTCCAACGCTAGACTATAATGTACTAGGTCATAAGGGCTGCTTATTCTAGGTGATTCGGCTGATGCTGGTCAAGAATATACATACTTTATGGGGTCGGAATCATTTCCTTCTCTGCGTTACACACATCCACTTTGGCAGAGAATATGTAGAATATACATTTTAGATGTAGTTAACAGATGTAGCAAAAAAATGTAAATGGTAACATTTTTTAAAATTCTACATAAGTGGTAAAGCTCACAAATGTATATACTGACTGAGTACGGGTATAAAATTAGAGTCGCGTCCAAAGAAGCGACTCACAAGTTCCTTCTCGTTTTTAACTTTTATTAACCTAGGGAATGTTTGTCCCGTGCGACATATCCCGTGCAAATATGATTTTAGTTGAATAAAAAAAAAAATTACGAATCATATTTTCGCAAAATAATAACCATTTCAAAGAGACATCAATGCACAACATGAAAAGAAATTTGCATCAATATATTGCTTTAACTTTCGCTGAAATCTGAGTTTATATTGATCGCCGCCACTAACCATACAGTATATAGATGTGCCAGCTCATACACCGAACGTTTCGCAGCTTTCGCAAGCCGAAGGCTTGGGGGTGCTGGGACCATTCGGCTGTGGTGCTGAGACGTTCGGGTCGTGGTCCTGAGACGTTCGGCATTTTTTCGACATGTTCGATTCATGACGAGATGCGAAAGCAAGCCGAGAATTGCAAGTGTATGTGTGTACACAGACACGACAAAATATTTATGAATTCTTACTTTCCGAAGCCGTTTTGAGTTTCGTTTCCAGGTTACGTAAATGTGCGTGTGCCATGTATTCACACATACTGTGCTTGTGGTGGGCTCTACAATTTTTTGCCGCTTGAACTGAATTTCGGTTTTTCGTTTTGTTTTGAGGGCAGAAAACTCAGCTG